AAAACCAGCAAAGTATATAGAATCCTGACGAAAATAAAAATGGAAAATAAGAGCGACTAAGTGAATATTATTTGGTCGCATGATGCATTATTCGAGAGCGTCATTGCTCTCAAGCGATTGAGATCATCGAGCCGAATATTGAGCGACAAAATAGAAATAAAATGCAAAAATACACTTTGTGTTGGATAAACATAATATCTCTAATTAATGAATTAATTAGCTTATTGCTCAAATGTGAAAGAATATTTAATCAGCAATTAGTATCGGCACACTGCAAATCCCAAAATAGATGCAAACAATTTAAGAAGAAAAGCGAGACACATGCATAAATTCAATGAGACATTGAATGAGCCAATAGTGTGTGTGTGTATTGTCTTATTTTGCGAAAAAATGTTCATCAACACCAAATAAAGCGATCGCTAGTAATATGTGCAGTCATTTGGTACCTTTGGTCCTTCATTTTGCTCGATTCTTCCTCAGACACACTGACTTCCTTTCTAAATACATTTTCTGAAACAATCTTTAATTAATGCAATCCGACGAAGCGCGTCGCAAATTAGACATCACACAAATCGCATCGGAAATGAGCATAAAAAGGGTAAATACAATTCAAAATGATGCGGCCGCGGTTATATATATATATTACTAAAAGAACCACACAACCAACCAATCAACGAGCCAGCATTCGAAAGTGGCAGAATGCTATACGAATGCGGTGCGAATGTTATCATTTGTTTCTTTTGGCAGTCTCGCGAATGCGTGAAACGGGAGGCGATTTCAATAACAAAAAATTAATTGGTTCCCATGGAGACTGAATGTGCAGATTTTTGGAAGGGTAAAACTAGTGATAATATTTTGAACTAACATAAAATCACGAAATTTTTACACTAATTGCATTGAAAAACACCCAAAGACTGCCTGGAAGTAAGCGAAATTGTGAGTTTCAATCAAATCAACATGATTAAATTTATAAAGCCCACACTAGCACACACACACACACACACACACACACACATTTTAATAAAAAGCCTCGTGCCATCGTGCACGTTACTCGAAACATAATGGGTGATACTCGCGCGTACACAGAATGTTGTTGCATCAAAACAAGTCATCAAATTTTCATGAAAAACTGTAATTTTTTCCTCTGCCAAACCTTATTCAACATCACGGAGGACGGTAGTCCGACAAGTGACGCTCCATAGACTGTGCATTTCAAGCCAAATATCAAGAATGCCAGTTTTTGCGTCACGAGTATATATACAGTAAGTATGCTATTTTCTCAGGGCACTATTTGGGCCCCGGCATGTTAGGCACCGTTGGAAAGGTCTTGGCCCAAATAGTCGGAAACACCATATCCCCCATGCCTAAAGTGTAGTCTAGGCAAAAATATAGCGGTTGAAAAATTTCGGTATATTTTCAAATCTATACCCATATCTTACGAAGGGGGTATTCAGGGGGTGGTCCAAGAGCTCCGCCTCGCCACCTTTTCAACGCCGGTCTAAGTGCCCCGATTGGTCCAAAAACAAAAAAGTTATGGGCATTGGCAGTTTGATCTTGATTTTTTATGAAAGTATTGATTTGGATGTGCGTCCGTCCGTGTGTCCGGAAACTTTTTTGATCCCCACAGATTTCGGTGCCGATATGCCTAAGCTGTAGCTGGTGTCGGGTCACATCGAAACCCGTCCTCAGATTGACATTTGCATTACAGGAGAGCTGGATATGGCTTCACTAGCCTGCATGTATACGATTTTTTCAAGTATTTATTTCGCACACTAGATCAACTCAGACGCTCATTGGACAAAGTCAGCTCGTAATTATTTGAGAAGACCTTCAAAAAGTTCCATACACACATGCCAATGTTTATGTGATATAAAAGAAAAAAGTCGATTTTTATGAAAAATCGGCCCCCTTAAATTTCACGCCAAAGGCGATTTCTCAAAAATGAGTCCGACAATTTTTACCAAAAACTGAGCGTTTGTAGCCGGCTACCATACCAACAAAATGGCATATGCCATATATCCGGGAAAATTCGTATTTCTAAGTTCTGGGCATAGGCAATTCATCAATGAACGGAATTTGTACGAAGAGTCGCATTCTACGATGGAATTGCTGCCGAAAACACTCATTGACTGGCTGGAAAGGCTCACAAAAGGCCATATCCGCTCAATTTTCGACGAGCAATCGATTAAAAGTGGTAACAATGCGATCTGAGGTCTATTTCATGGTCGAAAAATAGGTAGGATTGAAGTGAATTTTTCAACTTGCTCTATTTTCACTGAAAATGATGTTTTTGTTCGCAAAACACGTGAAATAGACGTCTGATGTCATTTTGGTCTTAGAAAACTGCTATTTTTTCGTAAAAATAATTGGAGTCTATCAATACCAAAATACCCACTTCGTTGTCATTTTGGTCATAAATCAGCATTTTTTGCATCTGAATGTTCGAAATTGAATTTTTGTTCGGGGGATACATAAAAATGTATTTGTTGTTGCTTTGTTTATGGAAATCAGAGCGTGTTTTGAGCTGACGTTAGCAGCACTAACTAACGTCAGCTGCTGATATTAGCTGCTGACGAGTATGCGTTGCGTTGTTTTAACGCATTTGCAGTACAAAATTCATATTCCTCTCTGGATATCAAGTCAAATATCATATTCTCTTCATTGATATCCAGATTTTTGTACTGCAGATGCGTTGAAACAACGCAACGCATACTCGTCAGCAGCTAATATCAGCAGCTGACGTTAGTTAGTGCTGCTGACGTCAGCTCAAAACACGCTCTGATGGAAATTAATATGTTTCAATGAAGTAATGGGGGTCTACAATTATTTCAACACTCTTTTTATGGATATTTTGAAATTTAATCATATTTTACCGCATTTTATAATGTGCAATTAGAGGAAAATGGGACTTTTTCAATGGTAGAATGCGAATGGGTTACTCAGACATACTTTTGGTAAAAATTTATTTTTCCAAATAAAAAAATGCCTTACAAAAGTAGAGATATCAGATGAAAAACCTCTAGACGAGGTTAAAATGGGATGACGCTCCTGTGCGTGGATTTACCACTCAAAATGACTGATATCATTTTGAGTGACGCTTTGACGCTGTATTATCTCTGGGTACGAATTTCAAAAGTGTTTTTCGCATTCACTATTGTGAAAATTTATTTAAAATAAAGAACAATATCGCGTCATGACTTTTGAATTTAGTCTCCAAGTCAAACTTTCAAGCGTTTTGCCGTCCAAAAGTCGTGACGCGATATTGTTCTTTATTGTAAAAACACTTTTGAACTTCGTACCCAGAGATAATACAGCGTCAAAGCGTCACTCAAAATGATATCAGTCATTTTGAGTGGTAAATCCACGCACAGGAGCGTCACTCCATTTTAACCTCGTCTAGAGGTTTTTCATCTGAATCTATTTACATAAATGCAAAATTGACGGAGAAAAAACTGAAACTATTTAATGATGATTTGATGACATTGGTTTCTGATTCAAAAATAGGATATCAGAGTTTTGGAATGTTCTGATATTAAAGTACATGAAAAGTTTTTGCGGCAAAAATTATCATTGTCGCACATACCCGTGGGGGTTTCATTCAAGGCTTGAGAAATGTGAATATTTGTGAATATTGTGGATATTTTTCTCATTGAATCATCGTCAAAATTTCGATTATATGTGAATGTTGTGAATTTTGTGAATATTTTGAATAAAATTTTCAAGATGGTGGCTGATGAGAACGGCTGAACTGACAAATAAGAAAAACTGAATATCTGTGAATATGAGTGGATATTCTGAATATAGCTCAAAACACACCGGAATTTATGAATTTTTGAATGATAAATTCCCCTAGACTAGAATTCCTGATTTTGGTGCGAAATCAATATTTAAAAAAAGTTTTAACCATTTTATTAAGCAATGAGACCGTATATGTAACTGAATTCTGATTTACGAATTCTAGTACGATTTTCAACTGAAAATTCATATTTCTATGGTAAATTTCTAGAGAATCGTCGGGATTATTAGTCCCATCAGATTCGAAAGGGTTTTTATAATTTGAAATCGTTATTTGTATTGTATTGCTTGAAAACACCTCACAATATGCCACGTCATCGCTCTCACACCAAACTAAGACAGCGATTTACATCGTGCCGATTTTGTGCAGAATTTTTCCCCGAACAACTAACACACACAACACCCGCGGCAAACCAATTCTCGTCAATAGAACATATTTTCATATGAAATTATTTATACAAAAGATTTTTCGGACGGCTGCGATTAAATCAGAGCCGTCACCCCGTTGCTTGTGTAAAAATACCTAACACAACCTTTAAAAAAAAGTTATATATCTTCAAACGAATCGAATCTTTTGAGATTTGTACGATAAATACTCAAAAACTATATTCAAAAACTGGAAGGATTGCTAAAAAAAACTTTACAAAATAAGTCAATGTTATTTGTCGATAAAAGAAATTATTAATTATGTCCAAAGTTTCAAATTATTCCTGAAAATTAAATTCACTTTTTATTTAAATAACTCAAAAATTTTAAAAATCAAACAATTTTCGATCGATTCAATGGTCAAATTTTATTTTGAGTTATTTCAATTTTATTTCAAAAACGAACACTTTTTAATGACGATTTGATGATTCTCGTTTCTGTTTGAAAAATAGGATATCAGAGTTTTGGGATGTTCTAAAGTTAAAGTGCATAGAAAGTTTTTCATCAATTCTGTCGATCACCCTTGTGAAAGGAAAAAACTTATTACAAAAGTAATTTTTCACCAGAAATTACATCCAACATGTAGTTTTCTGTCAAACATTACTTCTACAATTACTTTTTGTTTCTTCATTAAATAACTTTTCAAATTACTTTTTCTCTAACTATTACTTTTCAGTGAAAAAGAGTGATTTACAAAATTGTAATTTTCGTGAGAAACTCTTTCGCACATAAGCAAATATTTCGCAAATAACTCAATGAATATTAAAATACAGTTTAGCTTGGATATTTTCAACTTTATTCAAACATATTTCCTGTACAACAAATACTGTCTTGAAATGTGATAGTTGAAAGGAGAAGGACAAGACTGTGCTTACTATACTTGGATTTCATTCATATTGATTTTAAGTTGTATAATCAAAGCCATCAAAATCATTGTTTGTGTCTTAATTCAAAGTTCTACAGGTGAAAATATGTTTTTTGAATTATTTTAAATGCCATCGAGCATTAGTGAATCTAAAACATTTCGCAGATTTGGATCTTTGGCCAATAGTTTTGGCTCTTGTCGACTCATTGTGCCCTCATCTGTACTAGATGCAGTGGCTTGATTTTTCTTTTCAGGCGTTGGTTTTGTGACTGTCGCTTCTGGTTTGATATTCGGAATACTTGGTTTGTTGAGAATTTCCATGATTTTCTTCTGAATCTCGTCTTCTGCATTCACTTTTGACTGCTGTGGTTCCACTGGCACTGTTTGCTGTGATTCGTATATTGGCGATGAAACCGGTTCATTGTCTGCCGTTGAAGATTTTTGTTCATTAAAGCTTGTATCACCTAGTTCAAATTTATATTGTAGTTCACGCCGTTCTTGTAGATACTTCAATAGACAGTCAAGCTGAAGCACAGTCAATGTGCGATTGTTGGCCAACAAGTTAACCAGATGCTGTACAGAATCCGGATGTCGAAGACTTGATAATGGTATAGATGCATATGGCGATTCGTCTGTGTCACCAATAACGTCACCCTTCTCACCTTGGCATAACTGCTGATAGTTACGAATAAGTAACGAAATGGCATCTTCGAGAGGCATATTACGGTGTTCAGCCGGTATGCCATACAATATATTCAACGTAACGCTGTTGTTTTCCTTGTGCTGCGGCTGAATAATTACGGCGAACAGTGAACCCCGATTTGAAATGTTGGTCAACATTTTTCCGACTGTGAGATCTGCATTCGGAAACAGAAGATCGCATGTTATGTTGGCGCGTTTCAGTCGATTCTCAACGTATTCCGCATAATCCCTACAATACATAAGTAGAATTGATTAAAAACTGTACCGAAGAATTATATTTTTCTAACAGGAAACACCCTAGTAAAATATCACTCACACGAGGTGTTTTTCCAGCACAACGATTTCACAATCATTTGCATTTGGATACTTTGCACGAATTTCACGGGCTGAAGCGTATCCCTGAAGAACACCACCATTCAAGACACTCTTGAACTTGTTATTAGGGAATCCAAAGGATTGTTTGTTTCCGCTATTGTTCATATTATTTCCCATGTTGTTGCTGTTACTGCCGCCACCCATATTGTTGTTACTCTGGTTAATTTGGTTGCCAAAGTTGTTCTTGTGGCCAATATTATTGTTTCGGTTACTTATGCGGAAATTATTAAAATTTGAATGGCCTTGGTTATCCTGATTCCATCGCTCATTGTTCAAATCACGGCCTAAAATATGAGCAAATGTTATAAATCTTAGTTACGAAATAATTATTTATCCGAATTAAGATTTCACTTACGTCCATCAAATGGGGATCTTTCTCTGTCTGTTTGCAGGTTCATTTCGTTCATGTTGTTGTTGTTGTTGTTCCGATTATTGTTTCGGTTGCGCCATGGTTGCTGTCTTTGTTGGTGATTTTCAGTGCTTTGTATTTGTTGCGTATTATTTCCCATGTTATTGTTCGGACCGGCATTGTTGTTGGCTTGTGTCAGATTTGGATTTTGTTCGGGAACATTTGAATTTTGGGCAGAGTTGTTTTGTGTAGTTTGACTAGCAGTGTCCGGAAAAAGACCACCACCACCACCACCAATGTTACCCTTATCCATTGGTTTTTGGTTATTTTTGTTCTTACTCTGAACCTTACTGACGGTAATTTTTCGGCCATTGTACAGCTTCTGATTTTCACTTTCGATTGCATTGTTTGCGTTGGATTCACTGTCAAACTGAACGAAGCCGAAATTCCGACTCACCATCACGCCTCGAATATTTCCATACTTACTAAATATGGCTTGTAGCTCATTTTTTGGTGTATTTTCCTTCAAATTTCCCACATAAATACGGCAATTCACCGTATTCGGATCCCGGATTGAATTGTCGTTCATTTCTTGTCTTTTTCCGCTTGGTCAAACTAAATTTGGCTTCAAACGAAACTGATGCGGAGAATTGTGTATGTTTTGCTGTAAGTATATGAAGTTACAAACAAATCAAATGTCAATACCTTCAAGATGACAATCATTACGGCAAAAATGCGGGTATGTTCTTTTCCCGTCACTGCATCGAAAAATGAAAAGTAATACCGTTTTTTGTCTATGAAGAGGAAAATGAAATTAGCAAAAACCGAATAATAACAATTTTATATGGAAATTTCAATTTAGAAATAATAATTTAATATACTAAAGTAATGTTTCTTCAATTCAAGTGGAGGACGGTTGAATTTTGTACAAATTATTGAGATATTTGTGTGTTCGACACAAGAACGTTTGATCGATGGAGCCGACGTTTACAATTGCATTGACACGAAATAAAAAATAAACATTGAAAATTATCCGCAACAGAAAGTTTGCGTTGACTAGATGATTTTTGATTTAATTTAAAATGTACATATTCATACGACTGACTAAAATCAATTTTGTTTTTTTCAGAGAAAATATCAAAGACCATTGGTCTCAAACCAAGTTGAAATTTACTATTATCACTTACTTATTCCATTGTTATGGCTCAAAGCAATGAGATTCCACTGAAGATATGGTATAAAAATTCATAAAACAAAATGACCATTGAATTAATAATTTTCACAAATAACGAAAAACTTGTCAACCCATTAATTATCAGGGTTCATATTTTGTTTTTTAAATGCACGAAACTTCCAAATATTATAAATTTGAGTCTACAAATTAGACTTCTATTCTCGCAGATCGGTAGATGTGAATCGAATTTTTTTAAAACAAGGATGGTAAAAGCGATCAAAATTCGTAAATTCAGTAAAAAACAGAGTTTACGAATTTCCAAAGAAAATTACTTTCCAAAATTCTGACCAAAATAATTGTGGTCACACAAAAATCCGATACCACTTACTTTTTTGTTATAATCCGAAATTTGAAAGTTTGCAAGTTTCAAAAAAAAAAATCGACTACTCATTTTTTTACGTATGTAGTTTTTGCAAAATGGTCAGTCGGCCAATGATTGATATGCACCAGACCATCGTATTGGCGATGAAAAACAACATTGTGTGCATGGAATAATACTATTGAATTTTATTTTAATCCTTCGGGATTTTTTTTTACATTTTAGTATACTATAAAATGAAACAAAAAATCAGAATAATACTATATAAGCCATACAAACAAATTATTCGTTTTATTTTGCGAACTCAGTTTTATTATTCGTTCTGATTTATTTATTTCGTTTTTACTTCGTTTTATTCAACTAGTTTGTATCCGGAAACTTATTCAATTCTTAGCTTGAAATCCTTGTCAGAATGTATAATTTCTCATAATTTATTTTTCTTTTTTTGCATATATATTTTTAAATTAAAATGACAACAGCCAAATAATACATAATTTCATACATATTTCATATATATTTTAAAATCATGAACTTTTTACTGCTTCCATTTTCAGATTTTCTTGATGTTGTTGTTGTTTATTTGTTCTCATTATTTTCATTGTTAGTAATTTAAATACTAATCCACATTAAGTTTTCTATTGAAATTCGGAATATATAAATACTCAGTGCTGCCATTCAGGGATGTTCAACCATCAAAAATTTGCCAATTCATATTTTTGTGGATCATCATTTGTGGAACGATAATGAGGTGATGTTCGGTTTGATTGATGTTGATAATAATTGACATTAGACTCATTCACGCTATGCGATTGTAAATTCAATATATTTGTCTCATCGGAAATGCTATTTTGGAAGTTATTTTGACCGTCGCTATTCATCGGTGAACTCAATATATTCACATATGTTTTATATCGTTTCAACTAAAGACGCCAAATGTAAACATCGAAATTAGTCAGATAAAAACAAACAAACAAAAGTCAAAATGAGATATGTTACCTCGTATTGCAAGTACATATCCTTCTCGATGTAATTTTGAAGTTGAAGTCCTTTGGATGGTGGCGCGTTTCGTTTGTGTTCCGCTAGATCGTTAGTCAATTGCGAATGTTTTGCTTCATGTGATGTCAATTGATCTCTCTGAAAATGAACGTAATAGCGCATGAACAAAATTTCTGTTGAAATGTAAAATATAAAGTGGATGCAAAACGTAAACTCATGCAATTTCCTCAATACTGTGATGCTACGTATGTGACACCACACCAAATCATAGCACACATTGAAAATCTATTGGAGTGTTATCAACGCTGCATGATGTAAAATTTGAAATTTTAGTTGCTTTTTGAATTTGTACGAACCAGCAAGAGTTTCGTATGTGAATTGGGTAGAAGAGGCCGTTGAAAACGTTTTTGGCTGCCAACACCTCCCTCAAGTGGGGGTGTTGAGAATGCCGCACAAACATAGTTGATCGTGTCTATCCATGATTGCAATTCCTTTGAATCACTGGTTTGGAACAAATACTCAGCTTGATCAGCGGTTTGAAGTCGAAATACATGCTGTTTCTTCTGGTAATCGGTGGCTTTTGTTGCCAATGAATGATGAATGAAAATCGCATTGTGCACATTATCAGACACCTATTGTTTGATTTGGGAAGAAATAATTTTTGAAAAAGGTTACATATTTGCAATCTGCATGATGTTCTCACTTGTTTTTTGTTAAAGCCGTGTTCATCTTTATGTAAATACAATACTAAATCTCTCAATGTACAGAAGAACATTTTCCATGAACGTTTTCCAAACGGAGCTAAAAAATAAATGAAATGATGTCAAAACAGTAATTTAAATATAACTTCAAAATGGTAATGACATACTCTTTTTATTATTGGATTCATAGCAGCATTTTCGCATCATGTATCCTTTTTTATGTTCAATAGCGGCTACATTTTGTGGTGTATCCAAAATACTTGCTGCCTGCGCTCGTTGGTTGCTATTTTCGCCATCTTGTTTTTGCTCCAAATAATCATCATCACTGACAGTAAGATAGAAGAAAGAAAAAAAGAATCCAATTTGAGTCTTATATGGTACAATGTATAAAATTTTAATGTATATTCTCACAGTGCCCATTCGAGCGGGTGCTCTTTGATGGCTTGATATAAATATTTCAAAATGTCTTTCGAGAAGTTTTCGCCGTCATTGAGTTCAGCCAGATTTTCTATGAATTCTGAACAAGTCATTTTTCGGCCGATATTTTGACCGTATAAGTCTGTATTTAGAAGCATTATTGCACATGTCAGCGTATGGACAGCATCTAAAATACACATTAAATTAATACATCATTATTCAACTCAATTTGCTTCTGTTTGTGCTTAGCACTAGAATTTACCTTGTGAATTGAATGTGCCTGGATTACAGTCTAAATATCGTTTTGAAAAATGTACCAAAACTCGTTCACGCTCCTGTGTTTCACCAGACAAAGAGAATTGTTTCAAAAATTGTCTTAGAGCCTCATCTAATTTCAGTTTTGAGAAATCAAAATGCTTCAGATATTCGTCAGCTACAGCGCGACTAAAGTCATTGCTGAAAAAAGAAAAGTATTGATAAATTTTAATGAAAATCGATGAATGGAATAAACTCTATTGTCAGTACTTTTTGCTCAGATGCCTTGATACATCGCTCTTTTTAAATCCTTCGAGGCCGAATAGCCGTTTGGCAAGTCGAACAGCTGATGGTAGATCAACCGCTTTTGGAGAGTAGTGATATGAGTGCAGTGATTCAACATCGCTGCCATCATCCGAAACAGGTGGTGATGAATCGTGAGCTTCGGTACCGTTATGATTGTTTGGTATGTCTTCGGTTAAGGTTGCTAATTCATCCTCGGAATCCTTGTAATCAGATCCATTGACACCGTTTGGAGAAGTATCTGCACCTTTCACTCTGATCATAACCTTATAATCGCGATTATGTACTCTGCGATCTGGCTGTGTTGCCATATCAGACACTAATATAGTGGAGTCTGAATCACTTAAATCGCTAATGCCAATACCGCACATATCTTTTGTGCTCATTAAATTTTCATCGTCTTGATAATCAGGACTAGAAATGTTTGATACTGCTTCGGACACACTTAAATCAGCACAATTGATGGGACAGATGAGGTTTTGCGTTGTTCCAACCGATGGCTGTGCATCTTTCGATCCAGAATTTGATGACATTATTGAGCTAGACACAGACGTTGGCGATGCTGGAGTATCAGTGTGTTGGGGTGAAGAGCTGATCGAGCTTGAGAATGATTGCGAATTATTGGTTGTGGTCGTTGTTGTCGTTACGACCGGAGCATTGTACGTCCATACAATTCGCTCACGATCACTGGAACTTTGAGTACTTTCAGAATCATCTCGTGTATCAAGTAGAGTATTAAGTGATGAGTTGACATCTTCATCGACATCGATTGGCACAATCGAATCGATAATATCCCGTTGAGTATGTTGCAAGTGATCTTCGGATCGGCTGGTTCGAAAACCGGACACATCACTTTTTCTAATTGGGTTCGGTTGCTGCATCCGTCGAAACACCACATCCGATTCGACAGGCGTTAACAATGATGCTGGTGATGTTGGTACCGACAAGCAATTTTCGACAGAAGTACTTTCGTCCGTTTTCGATGTCGATGATGACGATGTGGAATTCGATTGGCTTGAGCTTCCTTTTGAATTTATTTCGCCGTGTTGCAATACATTTCTGCTCCATTTTGGTGGCGGCCGTTCCATTTTGAACACATTGTTTGGCTGCACGCTATCATATTTCTTGTGAGGTGAGGAACAGTCAACGTTATCATCGCTATTGACTTCAGACCGATTGCGTGATCCAGCCTTTTCGTTACCCGAATCATATTCATTTTTAATCACATATACATCACTTTCATTACTATTGGATTGTTTTCTGAATGGTTTAGAACCTATTTTCGGTGAAGCGACATCAATTTTTTTGATTGAGCTCACAAAATCACTGTTTTCGGAATAGCTTGGCGATGGCGAAGATTCACCCTTCGCATGAGGTGCAATACCATTGCTCTGTCGATTCATTCGTTTTGAAGTGAATTCGCTTAAACTATCAACCTACGAAGAATACCAATAAGACCAAATTAATAAATAAATGAATGAGCACACGAACGAAAATAATCGAATACATGTAGTTTGTCAGTCAACGCCTTCTGCTGATATTGGGAAATTCGATTGGTTTCCGTTCGATTCAATTTGAGCTGTGTGTACCTTTTTAAATTGAGTTGTCAGAATGTCAGCACTCTGTTGATTACGTGATAAGTTCAATATCAAATCACCGGTCATCATATACGCTTCGAAGCCGCATTTTTTCTTCACAGACGCATCATGTGAGCCAAATATGTTTGAATTGCCACCGTTTGACTTTTGAATGTGTGAGGCTTTGTTCGATTTTTGATCGTGCGGTGACTGTGGGCAACTTTTTGAAGAGCAATGAATTGGACTGCGTATGATTGTTGGAATGCGTGATGGCCTTGATTGGCTTGGATCTGATGACGTTACTCGATGACTTGAACGCGACAAATGTGACGAAGTTGAAATCATGCGAGTTTTATCCAAATTCTGATTGCTCTCTAAGTAATTTTGAACATGTTCCTTAATTTTGGGATCTAGAAAAAAAAAACAAACAAATGGGCAGGAATCAATAAAAAAGATGATCTTTCGGGAGCTTCGAGCACATTTTAAGTCAATTAAGCCACTGTGTGTGTTTTACCTCTTTTCAATTCCAATGTGACCGGATCTTGTGATAGCCGTAAACATTTTAACACTGCAATTAAAATCATGAAAATTAGTTTGGTTCTGGCGTTTCAGAACTATTAAAGCTATTCTGGGCTCTGGATGGAATTGAGCAATCTATACCTTCTTTGGTTGTAAAGTGATGTACATCTGTACCATTTACCCTGACAATAACATCGCCGGCTTCTACCTGCAAAACAAAAACAAATGAGCAAGCAATTTAGATGTGATTTGCGAATGTCACAAACAGGTGGAAAATAGCATTAATTATTAATTATTGATGACCACTTGCAAGAAATTATTGTTGACAATTGTAAGTAAATGTATTTTGTTTTTTCTTTCCAAAAAAGAGAAACTCGATTATTTTAGAAAAATCAACGATTTTTTGATAATTTTATTTAATTATCAACCAATTTTCAAGATAAATTACTAAAAAGCGGCTCAGGTTTTCAATTGGAACAAGTTTGAGACGGTAACTCTCATTGTCGCGTATGTATCGATTAGTCTACTACACAAAATATATGCACCGATTGCTCGCGCTCAACTGCACCAATTAGTCTTCGTGTGAGATAGCTAAAATTGGAGTCGTAGTTGCAATTTCACCGCGAAAAGAAGAAATGAGAGAAATGAAGAAGAAATCATAATTTGAAGTAAACATTGTAGACTTGATGGTTGCGTGAAAAAAAACCCTGGGTTGCATACGCAAGTACCAAAATAAAACCTAATAATTCCAGTTAAATTGATAAAGCACCATGGTTGATATTGGTGCAGTCACAATTAGTTTAAGACTTTTTTTTTTGTCTAAGAACAATTGTTGGTGTTTATGTTTGGGAGGGCGTAGTCAAAAGCGAATATAAACATATATAAAGTAAAATAAAATGCTATTGATCTATTTTGACGTTGTTGTTGTCTTGTTCATTTGGCCTTTATTTTATCTTCGTTCGACTCACTCTGCATATGTTTCTTGCAACACAAATCGTTTATATTTTATATATTATATGTATGGCATATCTTCATCACCATTCGTCACATGAACTAAGTGATTGTGTGTATTGCAGCACAGCCAACACAAACAATCTTCGAAAGTGGCAGCAATGACAATAAAAACATTTACTCAAGTGAATAATTTTGTTTATGGCACTTTATGGTTTTTCGTTGTCGTTTTTCATTTGCATTTACATTTGGTTTTCCATTAACACAAACACCCTTTTTGCAACTGAAAGCCACACACATAAAATGACAGCGAACTTTTAAACCTTATTCTGCTGGAATATGACTCGAGAATAATGAAAATTTGCTATCTCGATGAAATACTGGGTACCACACATTTTCAGCCAATCGAAGTAGAAATGATTTCTTGTCAATTTTTGTCAGTACAAAACACACAGCGAAATCGAAACTAGCCAAATTATGAGTAACAACAATAACATTTGCCGATTTCAAAACATATAACCGAATAAAATATCGGCACAAATTAAAATTAAGTGAACAAATGGTAACTATTTGGCATAATAGTTGGCAACAAAAGTATTATGATGTAGATGTGGGATATATTTTTTAAACAAATTGAATTGAATAGTGCGATTCGTTTGGACTCTCTTACCACTCCACATTCGGCAGCTGGTGAATTTTCGATGATATCGTAAATAATATGGGGTAATCCAGACGTGCCCAACAATGAAAAACCAAAACTTGAATCTTCACTTCTTTTTAAAACTACCTTTACTTCTTCAGCCATAATGGCATCAATTGAAAACAACAAAAAAATTTCATGTAGAAGATGTCACACTCTGTAAGTATACATGGAATGGAAATGGAGAGCGTATATCGGCTTCTTTTACTGTATTAGTTGATGTTTTTTCCTCACTTCAAGCTACTTTACTTTTACTGCTGTTGCTATTGCTATTGTTGCTACTGCCGTTGTGCGTACATATTTGTTTGTATGTATGAGTGTGTCATAAGTGGAGCGTTTGACAGTTCCAAAACACTTTCGAAAAGAAAACAAGTTTAGTGTGTTCAGCTGTGTGACGGTTTCGCCCCAAATGGAATAACACTTCGCTGCCATTTTCTTATTTGAATCTCAATGCTACGTTATTTATGTCGAATCCAGAATTGTCATGTTTCGTTTAAAATATTTACTTCAATGAATGAGTTTTTTGTTTTGGTTTTCCGCATTGATACTTAAATATTGGTAGAAGAAATTCCCAAAAAATTGTTTGAATATTTTGATTTTTATTTTCAATAACCATGAAATCGCCTCATTTTTCGCTATGACTTCACGTAAATCATCCGTCCGGAATTGAAATGTCATTCAGCACACATACATAATGACACGAACACAAACACGTTATGCTATGTATAACACTCTGGCAAAAACACTTCGTTCGGATCAAATTCAAAATATGAGTTTATAATTGAGAAAAATGGAGGCACTGTCAACTTTAGTAAAGGTTACTTTCCCAAATTATTTATCCAATTTACCAATTCCGGATTCGTTTGGTGGATGGTTTAAATTGGGATGTAAGTATTTTAATATGTTTATTCTTTAAAATTTCAATAACTTTTCAAAATTCCACGTCATTTTCTTGAAAAATACACTCGAAATTCTATTCGCAAATTGCCTTCACCATATTTTTCCGCTTCTAATTGAATTGTGTGTAAGAAGAGATAACTTTGAATGTTACATTACGAAAACATTATGATTTAAAGCCGAAAAATATTAAATAGGAAATGATAGGCAAAATGTTTTATTCACTGTAATTGAACATTGTGTATTATTGTGATAAAGATATTTAGATCCAATCATCGTGAAAGTAGTGTTAGAAATAGCAATAAAACAAGTACACTTGTACACTTTAAATGAAAACAATTATTGTTGTGAAATTAATGAAAAAATGAAGAGGCACAAATACATAAATTGTATCAACGCCCAACCAGTTCACCAATCATAAATTTAATTTGGAATATCACTGCAATCGATTTCATTGAAAAAGTTTTTATGGAAAAATGGCATATAAAATCCTCACTTAACTCATTTCAAGTACAATAACAACATTATGCAAAGCCATTACGTAAATCCAGCTGTCAAATTGTAACTTGAATTAGGTTTTGGCTTTGATAATTGATAATTGAATCATAATATTTCCTATATATAGCAACAAAATGAAATGACAGCGGATATTTGTTTTGCTTTGAATAATAGATATCTTACAAATTAATATTAACATTTACAAAAAATTCTATAATTTATAATATCATCTGACAGAAAAATGATTTATCTATTTATCTAAAGTTCGCGATTGGCTCAGCTTGATTCCACCGACAGCTGCTGTTGCCGGTTTAGGTTACGTTTCATACTTGGCTTTCTGCCCAGAAGCACGAAAATCGACTAAAGTAGCGCGAGTCAACAAATTGATTCGTTTGGAGGACGCTAAAGTCGCTGATTTTGTTGACATCGAGGTATTATTTGGCATAAAAGTCATAATGGAACAATATTTAATCCATTTACTTACCGTAGGATATTGCTGAAAAGGCTGCGTTCTGCAGATGTTGGAAATCCAAAAACGTATGTATATAACAGACAATGTTTATTAGACATTCTACAGTTCCAGACATGAAATAAAATAATTTTACATTATTGTTTTAAATGCGAACATTAAAAAGAATCAAAACACTTTTCAAATTTAAAGTTCTTATGAACGCGAAATTCCTGTCATTTACGTGCAAATAATTATGCTTATTTTATTATTTAAACCAAAATGCCAATGTAGAGTTTTAGTTCAATACCTTTGTGGGAAAAAAAAATGACTGACTGACTTTAGATTCAGTTGACTGTAGTTGATTGAATTTATGTTTTTGTATGAAGAAAATTCACTTTGTCCCAAAATTAGCAATTTATTTTAACTTGTAACTTTAAATGATTTCAGTTAACTTTGATAGACTTACACTACACGTTGTACTGAAATGTCAATCAAAGTAAGTCATTTTTGTCCGAAATTAGTTAACTGACTGGTCAGTTACAATATTCGCACACGGGTGTTGAAAACTTTTGAATATGTTTTTCGTAAGACATAATTCGTCGGACCAGATAAGTTGCATGAAACAGTCTCTAAAACTAAGTCTTCATGTGGTTAAGCTGTCGTTTTCCCTTTTTGTATGATAATGAGTTTGAAAGGAGATGATATCATTTATCTAATGTGTAATTTTTCACTTTCAGTGGCCCTATTGCGATGGATCCCATGGCGCACACAATAAAGAATGCGGTGATAATTTGGGACCAGTAGTACTTAAACGAAACCCCGATAAAAAATAATTTGGTGAATGAGATTTTGATTTTATCCGGCAGAAATATTTATGTATATATTCGCCGGCGCTCATTTTTTGTTACAACTGCTTATCCAAAATAAAGAAAATTGAATAAAAATTAAAGGGGAACGCAAGTGTTTTTATTGCTTTAATCTTGTCAGAAAATCTCAAGGTATTCACGTGTGCATTTTCGTCTTAATAAACTATAGATATTATAATAGCCAGTGTTAATAAAATTATTCTGCTAAGAAATACAATAAGGTATTGATCTATAGTTAGCGCTGTTCACGTTGATTTCAATTAAATTCAGCTAGATTTTACTACAAAAATTGATCATTGTTATAAAAGCGCATGTTTTAAGGACGTCAAAGCGATTAAGTTTTGTTTCTGAGCAGAATTTTGAAGATATACCTTGCTTTCCGTGTTATGAAAAATTAGATATATCAATTTAACAAGTATTAACTCGAATTCATCCAATTTCAGGCACATATCTAAGGTTGAATATGGGGAGATAGATTTAACCATAGAAGATACCGTCATAGTAGTCAAATAGTGCATGAGAATTGAGCCTGTCAGTATTATTTTTTGTTGTAATTTGTTGTAGTTCGAACTCTAACCGCTTGAATGTGCATTATTTAAAATATAGAGATCAACTCAAAGCATAGATGAAAGCGTATGAGCTTCCATGAAAGCCTAAAGAATTCACTCGGGCTACCTTCATAGCAAAAATGGTGAAAAACTCAACAAAATCCGTCGCACTGAAAGCAGTTGTGCAGCCGTGCCGTTTGCACATCGGAATTTTTCGCATACACGTCGTCCGTTCATCGTGTTTCTTATGTGCCGAACGCTCTCTAGTAATACATTCCATCACTGTAGCCATGCTTCGGCTTTGAGCGTTCGGCGCATACATACACGCATACACGCGTGTGTCTGTGTACTGATTTCGTTTGTATGAAACACGATGAACGACGATGTGTATGCGAAAAAGTCCGATGTGCAAACAGAACGGCTGCACAACTGCTTTCTGTGCGACGGATTTTGTTGGGAATGCTCTGAATATTTGGAAATTGAAACATTTACACTAAAACTTTGATCAAATTACTTATTAGGGTTTTCTAACAAACCTTCCAATCAAATGCGGGTTCCAATACTTTCATAAGGAGTGCTCAAAACCGAAGATTTTTCTTTCGTTGAATGCAAGTGATGTGAAAATATATGCTGCCATTTATATTGTCTTTGTTTAATGAATATTGCATTAAAGCGAGCTTGCCAACACACAACATTTTTTTTTACAATGCATACATTCCTCCGAACTCATCCAACGAAATGTACGCTTTGCATCGTTCAGCCATTGAATCACTTACGACGAATGCCGATGACGTTGTGATAATTGTTGGTGATTTTAATCTGACAAACGTTGAGTGGATAAATGACGATGAGGATAGCAATGTGCTTGTTCCCTCTAATTTCCACTCCCAATGTGCTGCTGATTTGATTACCTGCCTGATGGGCCTGGGCCTCCAGCAAATAAATTCAATAAGAAATCGGAACCTCAAATTGTTGGACCTATTTTTCACTAACGACCATGCCAACACAACAGTGAGCGATGCTACTAAACTGTCATTGACGGATAAAATCGACATTCACCACCCTCCTTTGTTGATTGAATTTGAATGGCATCCGATGAACAAAGCAGCCATTTGAAGAAATTGCACGAGGAATTCAGTGCAAAAAACACTCAGCTATACAATCAGTACGTCGACAAAATGAAATCAAACTTGAAAAGTGATCCTTCTTCGTTTTGGCAATATGTCAACTCTAAAAAGAGCACTGATAACATACCGAAAACCATGCGATTCGGCGACTCCAAGACATCCAGCGAATCGGAGCAAGCAAATTTATTTGCGGACTTCTTCGGGAGCAATTACTCCACATCTATGACACTAAATAATCAACCGTCACCTCAGTCTGAGAACACCTCTTGTTTCCAGCTTGACCTCGATTTTGTCATGACTGAAATGACGAAGGTCAACAACAAGAAAGTTGTTGGACCTGACGGTATTCATCCTTTGATTTTAAAAGAGTGTGCTTAGACGCTTGCTAGTCCGTTGACTAAGATCTTCAATGAGTCTGGCATTTTCCCGACGAATGGAAACGATCGAGTGTATCACCCATATTCAAAAAGGGCGCCAGATCGGACATTGAAAACTACAGATGCATAGCAAAACTACCAACGATCGCTAAATTCTTCGAGCACCTCGTCAACGTAAAATTGCTCGAAACTGTTCGTAATCGCGTCTCGCCTAACCAACATGGCTTTATGAAAGGACGATCTACAGCATCAAACCTAACCGAGTTTGTGTACTACGCCCAGAGTGGCCTGAAAATTGGAGCTCAAGTTTTTGTCCTGTACACGGACTTTACGAAAGCCTTCGATCGAGTTGATCACAACATTTTGATTCAAAAACTGAGGACATTCAATCTACCTCAAAACTTGCTGGCATGGCTTAAGTCGTACCTGGAAAAGCGTATTCAATTTGTCGAGCACGGAGCAAGTGGGTCAAACAATTTTACAGCGTCGTCGGGTGTCCCACAGGGGAGCCACCTTGGACCAACACTGTTCCTGCTATTCATCAACGACATCATGTATCAAATGCCCCCGGACATCATGATATAACTGTTTGCCGACGATATCAAAATTGCCAAAATCATCAAGTCTCAGCATGATTCGGAGATACTGCAACAAGCCATCGACAAACTTAAACACTGGTGTGATGTGAATTTGCTGCACCTTAACCTCAAAAAATGTGCAGTGCTATCTATCTTCAAGAAACGTCAGCATTTGGAAACAAGCTACACCTATGGCGACCACACCTTCGACAAAGTGACTGAACACAAGGACTTGGGTTTCCTAATTGACAGAAAGCTGTCTTTTGTCAAACACATTGACATCGTCACTTCGAAGGCAACGGCTGCACTTGGTTTTGTCAAGCGCTTCTGCCATGACATCACTGACGTTACCACACTAAAGTCACTGTATTTTGCATTGGTTCAATCTCACCTCGATTACTGCGCTATGGTATGGCTTCCATTCCACAAAATCCACAGTGACAAAATCGAATCCGTGCAACGCCAATTCACTATGTACGCTCGTCGAGAATACCCATCCGTGCATAACCAATACTCAATCACACCGTACGAGCAACGATTGTCAGAATTGAAGATGATTAGTCTTCGCCGTCGACGTATCAACGCGTCATTGACTTTTTTCTACGATATCATCAATGGTAACGCTAACTGTCCAACGGTTAGTGAAAAAGTCTCATTTAATAATGGGCGTTCATTGAGACACAGCGAGCAATTCAGGGTCAATGACAAGCACATGAAGCTGGTGCGCGAAGCTCCAATTCCTCAAATGTGCAAAATGGCGAACATGGTGCCGGAACTGTTCACAGCAGCGACCTCAAAGAATCATCGGATCGCAAAATGACGGACACCACTTTTGGATCGCTTTGCAAACTCAAATGACTACCTGGCCGCCTAGTCAATTTTTCATCCAGGTAACCTCATTTTTTTGTATATGTTACGAGAACACGTTGATACTACCCTCACTAATTATGGAATTGCGAATTTTCATGTTACCGTAAACCCGAACCATGACGTCAACCTGTTCGAGTCCACCAAAGACAACGCAGCATATGCCCTGACACCACTCTTGATTGGAATGCTGCTGATGAAAACAATCACGAAAGAGTCATGACCAGAATTTCCATCATCCGAACGCGATTCAACTCATTTTCACACGGCACAAATGACACAAATTATCATTAAATGACTGACGAATTGTCCCCCCACATCGTCCTATATGTATAGAGATAATGATACCTAACTGTGATTTTTACTCTATTCATTGTAAATTTTGATATTGATCTTTGTCATAGCCATCCATTGAGTTGGCGAGTTATTATTCCAGTTCTAGAATTATTTTCATATTAGCATCATATAGCAATTTATACGCTTCAAATCATGGCCAATTATTTAACTCAAAGCACTCTGCAGCCAACATGGATCTGCCTAAACCGACGTAAAACTTCTCGTCAATTTATCCACAGGTATAAATTGAGTGACGACTTTTGCTGTCCTAGAGTCACCAATTAAAGTGTAAAATTGAACGCTTCACATAGCCTTTGTCCTTTGGAAACGTTTACCAAAGGTTATTTTGGACCGTTTTCTATCTGACTACTATCAAGCATTTCCATCTTGGTTGTATGACTATGTTTTGGTTTTCATGTGCCTACTTTTGTAAATACTGTATAATTTATGGAAAGAGCCAGGTTTTTAACGAGGCAAGAATTGGAAGTTGTACTAAATTGGTGTAAATTATTATCATTATAAATTGATGTAACAGTCTTGCACTCTTTTCCGTCCAAACACTTATTTAAACCTCATTATATTCAGCCAGAGCTGGCGGTGTTAAATAAAAATCAAATACATGCCAATGTTTATGTGATATAAAAGAAAAAAGTCGATTTTTATGAAAAATCGACCCCCTTAAATTTCACGCCAAAGGCGATTTCTCAAAAATCAGTCCGACAATTTTTACCAACAACTGAGCGTTTGTTTGAGCAGGCTACCATACCAACAAAATGGCATATGCCATATATCCGGGAAAATTCATATTTCGAAGTTCTGGACATAGGCAATTCATCAATGAACGGAATTTGTACGAAAAGTCGCATTCTACGATGAAATTGCTGCCAAAAATACACATCTACTGGCTGGAAAAGGCTACCGAAAGACCATATTCGCTCAATTTTCGACGAACAATCGATTAGAAGTGGTTACAATGCGGTCTGAAGGCATTTAATGGTCGAAAAATAGGTCGGATTGAAGTGAATTTTTCAACTTGCTCTATTTTCACCGAAAATGACATTTTTGTTCGGAAAACACGTGAAATACACCTCTGACGACATTTTGGTCTTAGAAAACTGCTATTTTTTCGTAAAAATAATTGGAGTCTATCAACACCAAAATACCCACTTCGTTGTCATTTTGGTCATAAATCGGCATTTTTGCATCTGAATGTATGAAATTGAACTTTTGTTCGGGTGATACATAAAAAATGCGCT